GTGAGCCTACAATCCTGTCCACTCGGCTATCCTCATATCATTATGAAGCGGGTAAAAGATAAATAACTGAAGAGAATAACAGCAGTAAGGAAGTAAGGCATTCTGAGAGGAGTTATGATTTAAAACAGAGAAATTCCAATGATGCTGGTTAGGAATTTCATTTTCGTGCACAGATAAATCTGAAACGAAGCGGATTGTCAGCTCATTTTCCGCCGAGCTAGAACCTCGACTTAAATGATCTTTTTCGCACGAAGCAAAGCTCTTAGTTAGTTATAGTGGATTTTTTCTGTTGAAAAACCTAATTCTCTACAATAGAATTACCTTTTAACTGTTGGTATTCTCTTCAGTAATGACGTCTGGCTTGCTCCTTCTACATATGCGATTTCATGGAAATTTGACCGTCAATCACATAGAGGTTTAAGCATTTTAACTCCGTGTCTAATATACTTATCAGAGGCGCTTGATCTACTACCCATTTGGGCAGCTATATTAGGGAAAGTGCTCTTTGTTGATCGCGGAGTTTAAATATCAGTAACTAATGAGAAGCTCATCATTTGCTGCCATAGAATCATCCTACTATATACAAACGCGCTAAGTGTGTCTGTTGGTTTGTCTGTGTGTGTGTAGTTGTGTGTTTGACCGGAAATTCATAACCGCGGTCCCCATGGACCTAGAGAGTTCAAATTTGGTAGGAATAAAAGGGGCAGGATGGGAACACCTATGGTAGGTAGCAGGACCGGACTCCGTTCACAGGGAGCGCGGCGTTCGCGTCAGAAATTTTGGGCCGCAAATTCATAACATCTATTCCCGTAGACCTAAACCGCTCAAACTCGGCAGGAATACAGGCGGCAGGATGGGAACACTTATGATGGGTGACAGGACCGGACTCCGCCCACAGTGGCCCAGTGGGCGGGGTTGGAGTGGAAAATCGTAACTCCTGTCCCCGTGGACCTAGAGCGTTCAAATTTGGTAGGAGCACGGGTGACAAGATGTGAACATTCATGGTGGGTGACAGGGCCGGACTCGCTCACAGGGGGCGGGGCTTGCACAGAAATGTCAAAACGGACCTAGAGCGACTTGGTAGGTATACAGGAAGCAGGATAGGTACACTGATGGTAGTTTGCAGGACTAGACTCCGCCCCAAAGGGCGGGGCGTGAATATATACTGTTCGTTCGGACCTAGACCGTTGAAACTTGAAGGCACAAGACCTCAGCCGCGATGAAGGCTCTGAATACTTTTTTACCCTGTATAATCGCCTCTTGTGATATTATTCGATGTTCTATTCGGACACAGCGAAAATGGCTTGCAGGAAAAAATCGCTCCCAATTCCGAGCTAATACTGATGGTGTAGAGCTTTGAAAGAAAAAGGAAAATCCGAAGTGTTATTTACGCACAGCGAATTTTTCACAGGAAGTAGGAGCGCCCGGCGTAGCCGGGCGAACCCTTAAGAAGGAGGAAAGCCCGGCGTAGCCGGGCGAACTTCTAAGAAGGAGGGAAGCCCGGCGTTAGCCGGGCGGCCCGACTGGTTCATATAAACTCACATTGGCAGGTTCCATCTTGGCAGACAAACCATGGAAAGCATTCTTGAACCTCGTTGCAAGTCTGATAGTTCATCTCGGCGTAAACTGAAAGAAGTGCTTGGTGTATTCAAGAATGGTTTTATAAATTTGCTACGGGGCGGAGGTGGTGTAGGGACAAGTGGCGAACTTCACATACACGTGGTCACGGGTTCAGCCCCCACATCGATAGGCCCAATCAAGCCTTCCATCCCTCCGTGGTCGGTTAATTGGTACAGACTCGCCTGGGAGGATAAAAGCACTGACTTGTACATCGGCTGGCCACCGCAGGTCATTGTTTAGGCCACATACGCATTCATTATGCCACTACGATTCTGAATGGAAGTCGAATGTGGTGGCACATCCCTCAGACGGGATTGATTAACACCCCAAGACTTCATCCTTTATCCTTCAACCTTCTACATAGAAACTTCGCAAAAAGATTAGATCGAACTAGATTCAGATTGGGTAGCAGGAACACTTCACAAAGTAGATTCATAGTGATTTACTGAGGCTTCCTACACGTGCAACTTCTGAATTACGAAGCAGAAATGCAAAACGCGACTGCATTGTTTTTCCTAGAGAGCCTACTGTAACCATTAAGACTTCGATGTTCTAATGGATCGGTGCGGTAAAAATGTTGCCAAGATCAGTAGAGATCCATTATACCCACGTTCGAGAGAATTATTCAATGTTTTCCCTATAGTCTGTGTTTTCTGCCATATTCTTCATATGCGCTTCAGAGTCATTCAAATAATCGCTCCCCATGCTTGTAACTGTTACTAAAATAAGAAAGTTTATGGAATTTATGATTGCCGGGATCAATTTGATTCCATTTGGTACTTAAGATTTCAAAAAAAGAATATGCGGCATGAATATCACAGCAAGAATGCGAATAAAATATGACTTACCAGCCACAAACACAAAGACGGTGGAAAGAATGACTTTGCCGATCATTCCTGAAGAAAAATTTGGGTAATTATAGCTATAATTAAAGGTTTAATTGAGTTAGATAATCATAAGTTTTCCTTTAAAATGATAGTTATGGGTAAAAGTGCAGGGCACAGCCTCGAGGCTTTCTGTACTATTGATGGAAGGTGTTAAAGCTGCTCAACAGTCTGAAGCCTTTATGGTGGCATGGAAAGGAAATAATATAACACCAAACCGGGAAGCCTATATTGGCCTCATCGGAATTCAGAACTTATTCTATTCGAGTTATATTACTCAGAAGTTTAGAGGATGGGAGGTATGCTTGGATGGGTGAATATTCCTTTCGTTCGAATGATTCATGGTGAAATTAGCTCGAGAGCTAAATCATGTTTCTGGTGCAGAGGTAATACTGATCCATTCATGGTAATAGAACCTGAAAAGGTTCTCGAGTTGCCCTTACGAATCAGCGATTACCATATGAGTTTCTTCAAATAAGGCGCTTGGCTTCTAAACAGAGGAGAGGGCGATCCTTTTAAGCCGTTAAAATTCCGAAGATTCTGATGTCCAACGTGTTTTTATAGACTTATGTCTTAGCAATTAAGTCTGTGGAAAAAAAGCCCCAACAGGAATTTCGCAGCAAGAATGCAAATGTGAATTCGTTGTTGCTATAATGATTTGCATCCATTTATTTCGTTGGATCTTCACATACATGTCGAATTCCTAATCAGTTTTGCGTTCCCACGAGGCATTTTGCCTGGCCACACTTTCTCACACCCGATGTGATTGAGTCTTCGGCTCTCAATGCTTGGAAAGAAATTAACAGTCAATCATCCTTACATTTTGTTAGCCCTTGTCACTGCCGCTGTCGCTTTTGGTCGCCTTACATCAAGTGTGAAAGCTTCACAAAAAATGAGAAGGGCTTGAGGGTTTGAGAGGCTCTATTGGGCACTCGATCTTGTCACAAATTAACAATGCACAAAAATGTGAATTCGACATGGTTAAGCCCACATAGGATCGTGGATAACGGGTTATAGGAAATGATACTAATTGATGAGAGCTGGTAAGGCACCTGGCTTGGCTCAGCAAGGCAACTCAAGCCTTCAAGCCCTTCTCATTTTTTATGAAGCCTTCACACTAGACATAAGGTGACCAAAAGCGACAGCGGCAGTGACAAGGGCATGGAAGCGCAAAACTGAATAGGAATTCGACACATTTGTGAAGATCTAATGAAATTGAAAGGATGCAAAATTATTATGGCAACAACGAATTAACATTTGCATTCTTGCTGCGAAATTCTTGTCGCAGGCTTTTGCACAGCCTCCATTGCTAATACATAAATCTGTCAAAGACACATTGGATATCAGAAATCTTCGGAACATTAACGGTTCAAAAGGAACGCCTTCTTCTTTGTTTGGAAGCCAAACGCGGTGATCCGAAGGAACTCATACTGTTACCGTTGTTCTGTAAAGCAACTCGAGAATTTTTTCGGACTCGATTGCCATGAATGAATCAGTATTTCCTTCGAGGCATTCCTCTGCAATTTTATCCATAACTATCAAATAAAAAAACTTATAATTATGAAAGGGTTTTCTTCAGGAATGGTCGGGAAGGTTATTCCTTCCACTTTGTTGCTGGTGAGTCACATTTAATTCGCATTTTTGCTGTAGAATTTCTGTCGTAGGCTTTTTTATTACCGAATAGAATCAGCATCAGCAATCAGAAAACAGTGATTATAGGGAAAATATTGAGTAATCCTTTCGAACGTTGATATAATAAATCTCTACTGGTCTTCGCAAAATTTCAATCCCGCGATCCAGCAGTGACGTCAATGACTTTCAATGGTTACAGTAGGTTCTTCAGTGAAAGTAATGCATTTGCGATCACTCCTTCGTACTTCAGTTGCTTCTTAAATTCAGAAATTGCACGTGTAGGGAGCTACAATAAATCGTTATGAATCTATTTTGTAAAGTAATCCTGCTACCTATTCTAAATCGAGGGCTACCTAATCCAAATCTAAAGTGCCGATGTAGCAAGTTTATTAAACCATTTCTGGATGATTCCATGTACTCCTTTCAGTTTACGCTAAAATTTACTAACAGACTTGCAACATATTAACTCATTGACGACCGCGTGGCCCGCCGGCGGGCCACACCATATCGTGCTCCTGTAGTATTTATATTATTTATCAAGTGTTCTTATATTAGGTTGTCGGAAAAGTATTTGCGCATTTTGGTTTCCATGTTGTGAGATCTTTGGGGATTGCTCTAGAGCCTTCACTGCGGAATATGTGTAAGTGCAGGTCAATGCGCTCTCCACACCATATCTGC